AAATAAAAGCAGAGGGGAAAAAAAGCACAAATGGGATTTATGATTGAAGAAGGGTTTATAATGTAAAAAGAGAGGCCGCTGGATAAAACACAAACCTGACAGGTAGCGCCAGGGTGAAAATCCACCATTTTGACCGTGACACCTCCTTCCTTGCTATATGACTGTTTGATTGCGTGAAAGTCTGGCTTTAACAACACAAGGATTCGATCCATTTTATCAGCATGCAGCAGAACGTTTCGTTACACGGGGAAAGCGAGAACGGAATTCAATTTCCCGACGGAAGAAGGATCCGCCACCAACGGTTAATTAAGTGATGGCTAAGCGGCCTCTTTTGTTCATTTTCATTTTGAATAAATCCCATTTCTCCCCATGTTGTCACAGTGACTAATTGATAACGTCTTCATCTGCAATTGGGCAGCCATCACCCCCCGGCAACTGCAAAAGGGCTGTATAAATTGCAGGCTGATGATAATTATCATAATTTAGTAGTTAAACCACCTCTTGAAGACCTGCATGGAACCCAAACTCAATGTACAGCAAACTCTGGAGATCTGACAGCTCCAGAAACCATTCCCGCATATTAAAAATGTGATTGTTCACTGGGGGGGTTTTTTTGTATTACTTAGCATACACTCTCAAAATTATAAAACAACTGCTATAATTACACCAATCCATAGCACTTAAACCCCTGCCAAAATAAACCCCACAAAAACAGAATTTTAAAGCGTAAATTTGCTAGCTGAGTGGCGTGGTGGTTAGCGCTGCGGCCTCACACCTCCAGCATCGTTGGTCTCATTCCTGCTGCCCCCCCCCTCCCCATCTGTGAAATGCACATATTCTCCCAGTTCATTCTGGTTTCTTACATACATTACATACATTTTGTTTTATTAGCAGATGCTTTCATCCAAAGCGACAGACATTTTCCAAGAAGCAGCCAGTCCCTGGAACAATCGGGGCAACCATGAAATCAAGGGCCCAACCATGAAATCATTCTTCTCTCATGGGGATCTGAACCAGCGACCTTCTGATCACAGTCATGGTGATCTAACACACCAAGCCACATACCTGGGGGGGGGGGGTCATGGACGCCCTGGCAGATTCAGGGGATCCAGCACCTTGTACGGGCCTTTAAATATGTTAAATTGCGCGGGGGTGCACAACGTGGCATTTGTCAGGGGGCCCAGAATTTTTAGTAACGCCCCTGCACACAGCACCCCTTCTGGGGGTTCTAGGTTTCCTCTCTCCGTACAAAAAAAGTTGCATTTCAACTGGTTTCTCTAAATTGTCCGTAATATATTGGAGTGTACGTGCGATGGACTGGCATCCCATCCTGGGCGTCCCCTGCCTCGTGCCCTGCGATGGACTGGCATCCCATCCTGGGTGTCCCCTGCCTCGTGCCCTGCGATGGCCTGGCATCCCATCCTGGGTGTCCCCTGCCTCATGCCCTGCGATGGCCTGGCATCCCATCCTGGGTGTCCCCTGCCTCATGCCCTGCGATGGCCTGGCATCCCATTCAGGGTGTCCCCTGCCTCATGCCCTGCGATGGCCTGGCATCCCATTCAGGGTGTCGCCTGCTTCGTGCCCTGCGATGGCCTGGCATCCCATTCAGGGTGTCGCCTGCCTCGTGCCCTGCGATGGCCTGGCATCCCATCCTGGGTGTCCCCTGCCTCGTGCCCTGCGATGGCCTGGCATCCCATCCTGGGCGTCCCCTNCCTGCCTCGTGCCCTGCGATGGCCTGGCATCCCATCCTGGGTGTCCCCTGCCTCGTGCCCTGCGATGGCCTGGCATCCCATCCTGGGCGTCCCCTGCCTCGTGCCCTGCGATGGCCTGGCATCCCATCCTGGGTGTCCCCTGCCTCGTGCCCTGCGATGGCCTGGCATCCCATCCTGGGCGTCCCCTGCCTCGTGCCCTGCGATGGCCTGGCATCCCATCCTGGGTGTCCCCTGCCTCGTGCCCTGCGATGGCCTGGCATCCCATCCTGGGCGTCCCCTGCCTCGTGCCCTGCGATGGCCTGGCATCCCATCCTGGGT